CATGGAAAACAGCAACCTGCCTGTTCTGCTACTCCAACCTACTCTGACAACTTGAATGTGTGTTTAGGCTGTAACAGTCTTGTGATGTGAGGATTAGTTTATAAGAGACCTTGTACAAGAAAAGAGAGAAATAGAATTAGCACTTGCAACATAGAATAACTGAGTTTTCCCCGTCCTTCCCTGACTATATAATAGATCTACTTAAAAACAAATGCACAGAAGGATTTGGATTACAGCCTGCTTGGTTGTAGAAGTGCCAATGAAATGCTTGTCCATGAGTGATAGGAAAATGCCAAGTATCTAACTACGGTGGCATTTGTATCTAGAGCTTTCAAGCTTCCTTTTGAAGTGGTTTTCAGTAGGTGACTGACATTTGTCAAAGCCCTTTTTTGCAGTTCAGACGTTTTATCTGTGTGTCTGCCACAGATTTGTTGTCAGGGAGAATGTGCACTTTTTGAGGGTGCCTTGCTTTAACTTTTTATACTTGGATTAGGGAAATGCCTCTGTCTGTGGTGACTGTATGAAACAGAGGATAAAATTTTGAAAATTAAAAAATTCTAGTTTGAGTAAGACTCAGTTTTTGCAAGGCAAAAGTGTGGTGGTCTCCTGAATAGATCTGGATGGCAGCTGTTCAAGAGCTGTGTGAAACCTGCTGCTGCCATTAGGTGTTTTGCTTTCTAATAAGTAAATGGCTTGGGAAATATGCCAATAATCTCTTGCTGGGCTCAGTACAAGTAACGGTAAGTGCAGCACACTGCAGACTTGTGGTCATCCAGCTGGGATGCAGAGTCTGCTGCTGGTGTGTTGGCTGTAAATGGACAGCAGTAGGTTTAAGGAAGTCTCCAAGAAAATTTATTGTGGTCTTTGGTATGTGTGATATCTATCAAGATTATTTAAGTATTGTTTTTACTACCTACAGAAAATCCAGTTATCCTGGTTGATATTCAGAGGTGATTGCATTTGTCTGTAGAGCCATGGGACAGCAGCCTTCCTGGGCTGGGGTCCACGGGGGACATAGGGAAGGAAAATAAACACACATGGAAAACAGCAACCTGCCTGTTCTGCTACTCCAACCTACTCTGACAACTTGAATGTGTGTTTAGGCTGTAACAGTCTTGTGATGTGAGGATTAGTTTATAAGAGACCTTGTACAAGAAAAGAGAGAAATAGAATTAGCACTTGCAACATAGAATAACTGAGTTTTCCCCGTCCTTCCCTGACTATATAATAGATCTACTTAAAAACAAATGCACAGAAGGATTTGGATTACAGCCTGCTTGGTTGTAGAAGTGCCAATGAAATGCTTGTCCATGAGTGATAGGAAAATGCCAAGTATCTAACTACGGTGGCATTTGTATCTAGAGCTTTCAAGCTTCCTTTTGAAGTGGTTTTCAGTAGGTGACTGACATTTGTCAAAGCCCTTTTTTGCTAGCAAAATACTTCATTTACCCTGCTGAGTTATTTGAGAAGTCTGTAATGTTTCTTTTCAATCTAGTTACTTTTGTAGATTTTATCTGTTCATGTACAGAAAGAAAGGGACAAAAGAGAATTCAGGTTTGTTACACAAACTGTCACAAAGGTATTTAACGGGAAGACACTTCCACTTCTCTGTGGGTAAGATTTAAATGATGTTATGGAGAGTAGATGCTTTTCAATGACTGAAATTTTATCCTTGTTTGGCAATCCTGGGTCTGTCTGGATAATTTGAAGCACCTCATAATAAGCACTGCTAACTTTCTCTGGATTATGAAATCACAAGCATTAATTTCTTCTTTTGCTTGTACAGCAGTTAGGATCAGGAAGTCCTAATTGTTTGTAAAGACTACTTTAATTCCTTAAAAAGGGGAGAAATATGTAATAGATAACAAGGTCCCTAGAGAATATAGAGCAATGAGTTGTTCTTTCCTGTCATGGTTTTCAGATAAGACAATTTTTTCTCCTGCCTGCAGTCCAGGAGGTCATACTCTATTCTTACCAAGGAAAGACAGGAGTGCCTAAAACCCTTGAATTAGAGGAGTGCCCAAAAGTCCTTGTCCAGGCTGTTGTAGAAGAACAGTCCACACACTCCTTTATTGTCTTTGGAAGGCAAGGATGGTAGCAAAACTGCTTTAATGGAGCAAGCAACCCTCTGGGCTTCTGCCACACTTAAATGTATGATAGTGAGAAATGTATTAAATAATAAACACACTTGAATAGAGTCTTTTGAGGCAGAAAAAATATTTTTGGGGTTTGTGTTTTCTTGTCCTCCTCCTCTGGTTTTAGCTTTTATTTATCTTTTTCTCCATTTCTGGATTCCTTCTGTAGTGTAGCCCTGAATTTCTCAGCTTTGCTGGAGATTGACATTGATAATTCTTAAATAGCTCATTACTTCAAAGCCAGTTGTTAGTCTATCCCATGTTTGACATTGTCTCCTAATTTTGTAGTGAAGTACTTGTTTTTCAGTATCTTATTGTGTCATGGAAAAGCAATAACTTAGTCTGAATCTACACTTGTGATCTTCTTCCATGCCTGAGGAAGAGTGAGGCAATTAAAAATGCATCTCTTGACATGGATGAGTGCACAAGCCTCTGGCTGCTTGCAGAAGTGGTTTTTGCAAATTTAAGGTGGCCAAAATTCGTTAAGGTTCTGAAATTCCATGATGCAGGTTTCAAATGTGGGTGCTGCCTGTAATAACAATGGCATTTTCAGGTTTGGGAATAAGGCTGGTTGCAGTGAGAGGCAGCAGTGGTGTGCAATTCTCTTCTGGTAAAATGCCACACATTTTAAATGCATCAGCTTTCATACACCTTCACCAGGTCGCTGTTGGATTTCTCTTGCTTTGTCTGGGGTAGGGCTTTGCTGCCAGCCCAGAAATTCTCATGATGGCTCCAGCTCATCAGAGATTCAGGAGTTCAGCACAAATCCATTATGCTCACCTGAGTCAAGCAGGATACATCCTGACATGCTTGTAAATTAAATTACTGGGAGTGGTCCTGCTTAGCTTGATGATTGTATTCTAAAGTGAGAGAGTTCAGCACTTTGGGAGCACTAAATAGCAATGGTTTTGGAAGGGCCAGGTGGATCTCTAGGCCTTCAAATGGGGAGGTAGAGGAGGAACAGATGGCAAAGTGTGATGCGCTACAATACCTCAATAAGCATTTTTTACAAGGCTGGCTTTCTAGTTCAGAGTGCTGGGATTCCAGAGAGGTAAAATAGAAGCTGTTTATATCCTCTGTTGTCCATAGAGTTAGAAAATCCATTGTTCTGTGCCAGCCCAGAGATGTTTGCTGGCTCTGTGGATATCTTTTTCCTGCTGGAGAGGACCTTTGCTTATCCTTCCTGGAAGGAAGGAAGCCGAGAAAGTCAGGAGAAATAAAACACATAAAAAGAAAAATCTGTTATTTAGGATATAAAGCATCTGAGAATTTATATAGGTTAGCGGCTGAAAAGTGCATTTTTGTCTGTTCTGCTGCTTTGATTGACATTTATCTGTAGACATTATGCAAGAAGAACCAGAAAGAAATGGTATTTAATAAATTACTATGCTGTTTCTTCTGAAGATCAAGAATCGGGTGCCAATTTTCCTTTTGTAAAAAAATTATTTAGAAAATAACAGTAGTAGGAGATTATAGATAAATATAGGTGAGACAAGGTAATGCTTAAACAAAATGACTCCTTTTTCCTTTCATTGCTTTGTTCACGGTGTGCTGTACACAGCCTGACATTTCTGGTCGGGGGGTTTCTTACCACTCTAGAAATGGTATCCTGTGAATATTTCCATTGCTTTTTCCTCCACTTGCTTTGTTGATAAAGTTGATGTAGTTCTTTCAAGATAGTTTCTAATTGATGGAAAAACCACCTTCATGTTCTTGTTTCCCTGTTGTTTTGAGGGTTGTTTGTGAAGTTTATTTTAGTTTGTGGCCAAATCTTTTCCCATTTGGAATCCACTGGAGTTGCTTGTTACTGCTCACAAAGTGTTTGGTGTGCTGCTTGCATGTCCCAAGTTTCTCAGTCTGTAGCCAAGTGGAAATGGGGAAGGAAAGGAAATACCTGTTTTGCTAAATCTGGGTTCATCTGAGGTGGAAAGGATCTGAGGTGATCTTCAGCCTGGCCACCTGCTCGCAGCAGGGGCAGCTCTGACATCAGGGTTGTTCTGGGCTTTTCCCACTCAGGTAACTGGAGTAACCTCTGAGGGTGAAGCCTCTGCAACCTCCTGGGCAGGAGCTTTCTAAGATGCAAAAGACAACTCAGCTGCAGGAAATGTATTGCCCTGGAGAGCACTGAACTTCAGGGGTATTTTAAATGCATGATTTAATGGTGCAGTGAGGACTGGAAGTGCTCAATTGTCTTAACATGTAATAAAGATGTCAACTAGTTTAATTTTCTTTCAAGGCCAAAAAATGCATGGGTTTAAACCAGAAAAATAGAAGGCAGAACATCTGTGAGGTTTGTACTTGGAGTTAAACTCAACACTAGAGATCTCTTTTGTAGAGTAATAATTTTTTGTTACTAAAATCTGGACATCAAGGAAAAAAGTCATAGATAATTCCATACATTTTCATGTAGCGGGGTTCTTTCAAAATGCAGTTGCAAATTATTTACAGGTTGTTGTTGACCTTAAATCAGAACTAAGCAACAAAAGGTAGCTCTGTGGAAAAAGTTGAGATAAGGAGCAAGTGTTTTGTTTCCCAACTCTTGGAGCTGCCTTAACAGCAGAGGCTTTGATGAATACTGCACAAGTAGTGAAAGCCTTTTTGTCTGCCTCTGGTCAGTAAATAATTGATTACAGCTCCTCACGTGGCTCTAAGAGCTGGAAGCCTTCCCTCAGTGCTGCGTGTCCCTGGTCATGGAGCTCAAGTAGGACGGGGGTGACATGAGCTGTGCTGGCATTTCCCACTGTGCCAGGTGCATCTCAACGAGTCCCTGTGTGTGCCCCTTCCTGGCACAGCTCTGGGTACCTGTACCTACACGGGCAGCCTGGGAGGCAATGCTGGCCTCTGGCGATTTTTCTTTCATTGCAGGCAAAGGAATGGGCTGGGTTCTTCTTCCTGTCCCTGCATTAAATTCTTCATTGCAACCTAATGTTCGGACAAACCAGTGTCTCTTCAACTGAGGTGTTCTCAGGTGTCCCTGGTAAGAACTGCACATCTCTTGCACCAGGTCTTCAGACCATGAGTGGGGTTTGGGTGGGAAACTCTAGGAGCTCGTGGGCTTGGTGTTCTGGCACGTGGCAGATCCTCTGCTCTGCCTCTGGACAGCCCCCAGCTATTGCAGAGGGGAAAAAGTGGCTCAGCCTGAGAGTCAGCATTTACACTTGTGCAATTGTGTTTATGCTTGTGTTTATGGTGTGTGGTACATCTGAGCAAATCACAGGAGGCAACTGGGAATATCATCAAGGGTTGGAAATCCCAGGAGTTTACTGGTGGACTTAGTGCTGTAAGGTGCAGTTTGAATCAGGCTCTTTTAATTTCCTCTGGGTTCTACTGTTTGGAGATTCTAGTTTTCTTTGGCAGCTCACCTGAAAGGGAAACTTCTTTTACAATTTTGTCTTCAATAAGTGATAAATATTTAAATTAGTAATTTCACTTAGAACAAAGATTAAATATGCTACATTTCCAGGCTGTGTCTTACTTTGGCAGTCCTTTGGTAGCCCCACTCCAGCTGAAGCTCTGTTTTGTTCTTGGTAACCCCAGTCCTCTCCTTTTCCCCCATGTTGTGTGATACAATTCTAAATCCATTCTTAAATACACTTTTGTTTAAACAAACAAAAAACAAAGTTTGTAGTAATTTTTTGAGCAAGGATGAGAGTGAAATAGCTTTCAGCAAAACCTAATATTCTCTAATTGTTCTGATATTCTTTCATATGGAGAACTTGAGGCGTTTTATGTTTCTGACAGGTCTTTGCCAAATAATTTAAGTAAAATATTTAATGCTTTTGTAACACTTTGCACAGGCATTAATAAGAGCTCCAGAGTTATAAGGGTGATAGTAACTCTCCAGGCCTAGGAAGGGAATGTTAATCAGCATTCCCCATCTGAGTTGTACAGTATGCATGACTTAATTTATATTTGATTGGTACATCCAAAAATTATTTGTCATTACTCTTGAGTTCAGCCAGTTAGGAGGAGAAAAGGGCACTTGTCTGATGCTCTAAAAAATGCCAAGGGTGAAAACTTTCCAGCACCCTTCAAGCTGAAACTGGCACATGTTCCCCAGTCTCTGATTTACACGTGGCAGTGACCTTTACAGAATTTCTGTACAGAACATGTGGCAATTGTCATCAGCACCAAGGACAGAGGCTGTCAGCCTTCTCAGGTGTCAGACTGAACTTTCCTAGCTCTTCCAGAGAAGCCTTGTGTTTGTGAAATTGCTGAACATCTCCAGCTTCCAAGTAGCTTCCAAACTTCTCTTGTGCCTTGTATTTCAGTTGATGTCTGGAAGATTGCTTTGTCTGCTGAGTCACAGTTCTGATTTAAATTGGGGTAAAAAAATTCTGTGGAACTGTTTATCACTGGTCCATGTTTGAACTTGATGGGAAATGGGTTTCTTTCCAAATCATACCAAATAAAAGGACTCTAGTCTAGCAGGCTGTTTTATTCACAGAATACTACTGAACTACATTTTAAATTTGCACAGAATATGTTTTGTTATCTGAAGGTAGAAGTAACCTCAAGGCATAAAATTAAACTTGTGAACAAATTCATTCAACTAAATCTGAATATAATTTAAAAGGAAGATATATGCCAAAGTTTTTAGGAAGAGTGTTGATTCATTTTTGAGAGCTAAATATCACAGAAGAGTGTATTTAATTTATGGGCGAAAGTTCACTTTATTGAATAACTTTGGTTTTTAATACAAGTTTTTTAACAAAAGAGCTTTGATCTGTTTTTTGGTGGAGGCTGGGGAGTTGTATTGGTTCATATTGGCTGTCTTGAACTTCCCAGGTCTCAAATTCAGCAGTTTTCCATAGGTACACTGACAAATTTGGGGGGTTTTATCCATGCACAAATGGCCTCTTCCTATTTAGCATGGACTGGAAAAAGTGCAGCCAAGAGAGAACATGGGAGGGTGCTCAGCTGGGGTTTGTGTTTTGGCCCAGAGGAAAAACAGGCAATGTCCTATTGTCACCCTTCTGATGTGACAGGGGTCCAAACTCGCTGAACTAAAAATGGAACTGTTTTTTTTATTGTTGTTTTTAATCTAGTTTTTCTCCAAGAGCAAAGCTGCCAGCAGCAGGGCAATACCATGAAATGCAGTGTAAAACACTGCAGACAGTGATGGCAGCTGGACTTGTGTGGCTGGAAATGGGGATGACTGATCACGACCAAGGACACATGAATTGTTGCAAGTGCCGGAGTAAAACCTAAATTAAATATTTCTCAGGCCATCTAGGATAGCTGTTGTATTACACACCTGTTATAGCAGCACAGCCAATGAATGGAGCTGTCAGTCTTTACTTTGGCTTAAACAACAGTCTTCACTGTTAGTCTAATTGTTATAATTTGTATTCCATGCAGTCAGGAATGTAAATGGCCTTAAATGTAAGTATTTAGTGCTTAATCCTGATTGTTCTACCCAGGGCTGGCTTTTTAAACTCAACAGTTTTGTGGGGGGAATTAGATAACCTTTCAGAGATCAAGTTTCTTCTTTAATTAAACAATAACCCTGAAAGTACAAACCACTTTCCAAGAGCTGTGAGACTGCTGCAGACACACCAGAAAATAAATTGGGTAGCTCCCACCTGCCCAGCAGTTCCTCTGGCTGCCTTCTCTGCATCTTCCACTCCATTTGCTGATCAGCCCTGGAAATGCAGATTCAGAGCAGTCATTCATCCCCAGAGGCTCATGCAGCCCTGTCTCATTTGCCAATTAACCCTTCACCAGCCTCCAGCAGGGCCAGCGCTTTGCTCGTGGCTGTGAAAGCAGCCCTGGGACGGAGCGCTCACGTCGCAGCTCGCGGCTGCCAAGGGGGTCACAGAAAGCTGAAAGCTCTTCCCATGACAAAGTTCTCATGGAATGTAAGATCTAAAATGGTTTCTAATTGTACCAAGTCCTCACACTGGCAGCAGCTCCATGGGATGAAGTTTCTCTGCACATTTCTCTTGACTTTTGAATGAAATAGAAGCAGAAGAAGTGAACATGTTGAGAGTAGAAGATGGAGGAGGTCTCCTAAGCAGTAGGAAACGGAACCAGAGGGAAAGGGAAACAGGAAAGCCATGGACTGTGCTTAGAATTATTTTGTTACCAGACCATTCATGACTGTTCTGCATACTGAACCTTGATGCATTATTTTTATTCCAAGGCAAGAAATCATCTGAACTTGTTCCCCAAGAAGACCTACCAATCACTGTACCCTGTCACGTTTATCTCAAAGGGCCTCATTTCCTTGTGAGCTTTGAGGGGCTGCTCATGGTAGCCCAAGTTGATTCTGTGGCTGGAAAACCCATATATGACTGAAGAGACAACCCAAAAACATCAGTGGAGGGGAGAATAGAGCCAGAGTGGGGTCTGCTGCCTTCTGAAACCTGGCTGCAATGCTTACAGGGAGAGTGTGGCAATGGCTGGCAGTTTGTTTGCTCCTGGAGAGAGCCCTGCAACCCAAGCTTTTGTTATGTGAGTTTGGCCCAGAGGCATTCATAAAGAGAGAAATGAGAGTTGCACTGTAAGGAAAAAATAAATTGCATGTTGCTAGCTGATAGACCAAGGGACTCGTTCATTGAAGAGGGAGATTTTGCCATGAAAATATGATGGATAACCCATGTAATAAAAATGTAAGAAGCTGCTTTGTTACTCTTTGCAGTGTGAATTTTTCTTAATCTTATCCATGATGGGCAAAAGACAGTAAGCAGATGGAAACAGCTCTGCCAGCACTGCTTGGCTCTGAGCTTGAATTAGAGCCCACACTTCCAGAAGTTTTTTGCAAGGCACCCTGCTTTTCACTGCAGTCGGACTTCAGCTAAGATACATTTGAGATAAATGCAAATCTGCCATTGTCTTCTGTGCCTGTGCATTCATGCCTACAGCTGTTCCCCTTGCAAATAATATTAATTTTGGAGAACTAGCCCATTTGCTGCAAATCTGTCCATATGGATCAGTGGCAACTTGTATGCAGTAGAACAAAAATCTCTTTAAAAAAGAACAGTGTTTCTGCATTGAAATTTCCTTACAGCTGTTCCCCTTGCAAATCATGTTAATTTTGGAGAACTAGCTCATTTGCTGCAGATCTATCCACATGCATCAGTGGCAACTTGTATGCAGTAGAACAAAAATCTCTTTAAAAAAGAACAGTGTTTCTGCATTGAAATTTCCTTGCTCCAGTTCTGAGACACAGATAAATTTACTGGCCCCATGGTTTACTTTAAGCTACTAGAATAGAATGTATTAGCAGATAAGGTGATAAATGAAGGGGTTACCAAGTATTTGTCATAAGACCATGTAGTTTTGACTTAATCTGTACTATTTATAGTAAGTTTTTCCCTGGTTAGCCAATATTTCGATAGTGGGGGGCTTTTCCCACCCTCTTTTTTTTTTTATTTGTCTGATCATGCTAAACTGTGCAATTTATGCTTCATTCCCAAATCCCTCTTTTCCTTCTAAGCTGCCTGTGCTTTGTTTTTGCTTAGCCTTTATTAGTTATCTTACTAATTATGGTATTAATTCATGTTTTCTTCCCTCCTTACTTTATAAAAGATCCTTGGTAATATAACTGATAATTGTGACTCCTGCATGGGAAGTACTTAAGCTGATAATTTATTGGAAGATTTTGAAGAAATGTGGTTTTATAACAAATGCATCTGGCATGCACAATGCATGAAGTTAAATAAATACTGAAAGAATTCTAGGTCCTTGCAGGAGTTTCCTGTTGTATGCGAGATAAATCCCTGATCACACCCTGATCCTAGTCCTGGTTGTTGGCATAGCGGGGTCATTATTTGCAGGTGTTAAATAAGTTTATTTTAATAAAAAGTAAACATACTAAGTTTAAAAAACAAGTCACTAGGATGAATGATTTTAATTGTAGCTAATAGTGCCTGTGTTATCAAACTTTGATGTCATCATGGAGGGGGACTGACACTTGCCTGTATTAAGCACTTAATGCTATGTACAAGTTAATAGGAGTTAGCAAGCACTGTAAAGTAGGAATCATGGAGTACTCCCAATTTTTTTCTCACTAAAATTCTAATGTTGCAGAGAAATAATTTCATTTGAGAGCTGTGTGTTTGCTCAGCTTCTACAAAGTGCTAATGGGCCATTTTGGGTTGATATTGAACCCCTTCTGTGATGTCTTGCTATATCTTTTGCTTGTTATTTTCATTTACTTTGCCTCCCTCTCTTTTAAACTCTTCCTGCTGTCCGAAGTTAAGCTCTAACAGATTTTATTTGTAGTTTCCTTTTCTTGGACAGATATTGAAAAGGTGTTTGATCATCACTATGAAGTGGCTTTTTTGCAGTCCCAACCTGAAATATCATGTTACTGCGACTTGCCAAAGAGGTTCTTCTCTTGGGAAGTTTTTGGATCAGTGGTGGTTTTTATTTACAATCCAACACCCACAGCATTGTGCTAGAGCAGTGTCCTGCCTGCTCTTGCTTCCATAACAAGGGAGGCCACATTAAAATATTCATTTAAAACCTGGCACTCTTTTTAGTTCACTCTGTTATTGTTTTTGCAAAGACAAATTTGCATATCTGTTATGGCTTCTGCATTTGATTCTGTTTTCATCTTTTATTTCTCAAGATTATTTCACCTTTAATAGCTGCACAGTCCCACAGAGCTTGTTCCTCTGTACCCTGTGGTCCCTAAGTGCCAGCCAGGTACCTTTCCCACTGTCTTCAGAGCCACCCACTGCTCCGTGGGCTCCTTTGTATGCCAGAATATTTCCTTGTTCTCAAAACAAGGTGATTGGCTGAGTAACAGCAGACAGAAACATTCACAAAGGTTCTCTCTGTGACTCGGGTTTTCAGTGCAGTTGTCAGGTTGTTCTCATTCATATCCAGAATTCTTAAAATCTGAATTACATCTCTGGCTCTGGAAGTCAGGTTTTTCCCACCAGTGTTGTTGTTGCCTTGCTTTGTTTGTTTTTAAATGCCACTTGCACTTAATGTTACTTGATGGCCTTGTCAAAATTGAGGTTTATTATAAAAGAATGAGAGAAATGGAGATGAAAAACCAATGAACTTAAAACAGGGAGAGTTAACTAAAATACAACACTTCAATTGTTTTGTTTGTGAAAGTGATCCTATAGTACATTGAGTGTCTTAGAAGGAAATGTGTTTGGTTGAGTCACATTGCTACAAACCTGTACAATAGAGGCCTTTCTGAATTATCATCTTGGGATTTGAGTGGCAATCCATCTCCTTTGTACATCCCTGGTTTTGCTGTTGGCATGGAAGGGCATGTTTGAGAGTGGTAGTTCACACAGTGTGTCTGGAAATAACCTGGCCAAGCTCCTCCCTGAGGCTGAAGGGAGGAGTCTGGGTAATGGCAGAGACCCAAACATCTGCCCTGGGCATTCCTGGTGTGGGCAGGCAGACAGGCCTTGGAATAATCCAAGACCAAGCTTTTACAACTTACAATAAAGCTGTATTGAAATTGCCAGGCAGCTCAGGTTTCTTTCAAACCTGTCAGACAGCAAATCGAAGCAAGTGTCCCTGAGCCCCTTCTGCAGTTCCACTGATGGAATGACAAAGGAGATGTGGCACCAGCTTCTGACTGCCTGCTCCTGGGTTTGTCTTGGCATGTGAGCTCTGTGCCAAGGTGGGCCTTCATCACTAGTCTGGCTCTGCAAAAACAAAAAGCAGGTCCTCGATCCCAAGTCATTTACTAGGTTTCAATTGCATCTGCTCTTCCTTCCATAAAGCTCAGCCCAAATGGAAACCCATTTCAGTGTGCTGTAGTGGGGTGAGTTGTACAGCTGGCACCTTGTCATCTCTCCTGTCGTTCATTAAGAACCCAGTTTATGGTGCAGTTCCTTGTGAGTGAAGGCAAAAAGTGACAGCCTTTAAACTCCCTGGCACTGCTTTCAGCAGGAGAGCCCTGAAGGAGATGCTGCTCAACACCATTTATTGCACTGTTTTTCTTGTGCAGAGCCCTTTCTGCAAGCCATGTTCACTGCACTATTTCTTATTTCTGCTCCAAGCCCTTCTGTGATTTATTAGTTAGTCACAAAATGCATATATATGCCATGAAATATTAATATGTGGTTCCCCCTTAAAATATTGCAGCTGAATGTACAGAGAATTTCCTCACAAGCAAGTTTAGGAATGTATAATAGTCTCAAAGTTAAGTTCTAAACTTGTTATACTTATTTTTGCTAATATGGAAATTGCTTGTCTTTATGGTATAATGATGCTCATTTTGGAAAATGGAATAATGTAAAAAATTGTGACCAAGTCTGAACATCAGTATTAAGCCTTGTTCACCGGTTGGGCATGAGAAGAATGATCATGCTAGCACCTGTTTTATTTTTTTTAATGCAAATATGCTTAAACATTGTTTAAGCAGGTCAAGTGTTGCATGATAGTGAATGGTCTATTCTGAGTATCATGGAAGATCTTGAATATGAAACATACAGCATTTAAGGAACAGTAAGTTAACAATTATATGAGTTGCTTGGAGTTTTATTTTCATTGCATTAGAACATGTTGAGATGTGAGAATGAAGCAGCTTTAGACTCGTGTGGTGCTATTTGCTGTTAGACAGCTAGGAATTAAGAAGAAAAAAATTTAGTTGTGTGTTTTCATCCCAAGATGAAGTACTGACTTGGTTCAATTCCAGCTCCAGGCAATCTAATCCCTTAAAGTAATGGACTAAAAGAACTAATGGGGAGAGAAAACACTTCTTCAAGCATTTAAAAAACATTATTTACATTATAGAACTCGAGCTATTCTGCCAGTGTACTTGATTTACTGTAGGTTTCATTATAACCTAGAGCTGCCATCTCTTCAGCTCTGCAATCAAGTCAACACAGGAATTGAAGCCCAGCTCAATGGCATGCAAGATTTTGGGCCTCTTACTTGAGATTTACATCTTTAGTATGCAAATACATCTCCTAGGGAAGCTCTGATCAAAAGTAAATTAAATAAATGTCCTATTTCAAGTCAACAGTATGCATGGAACTCTAAAATGGGATGGTCATTAAGGCACTGTGTCTGTCTGTTAGGAACGGTACTGCTTATTGAAATGATGAAGAGGTGAGAGGGCAGATTGTTGTGTGAGAGGGAGCTATTACTCAATACCTTTCTTGCCACAGCAATAATTAAGAAAACCTCTTGATTTTCTATTTTCAAGCAGCTTTGTTTTTGGGGCGGGGGGGTGGGGGTGTAGTTCTTAATCTTTGCCTACTCCAGAAGAGCAGCTGTTCAGGACAGTGATCAAAGTGTTACCTGAGTTTGAACACAGAGTTTCTATGGGGAGGCAATTTCCAAACTGTCACTTTCCCCTTCCCTCTTTATTTCATCTTTTGCTACAGAAGTTTCTAATTTCCTTGTAGTTCTTCTCCTTGAGACAAAAGCATTTCTTCCCTTATCCAACATAGGTAAAGAAGGATTTTTGTGTGTTGAATAAAAGAAACACTACTTGGCCATTTGTTTGTGGAAATTGGTGTGCAACTCTGACATAATCTGAGAGGTCCAACTGGATAATGAGCAGCAGCTTTGAGACAGGCTGGCTGCTCAGATAAACTCTGTTCTCTTAGTCATGTC